ATGTGGAATGAAGTGGGCGGGCATCGGGAGGCCACTATGGCACGGGGCAAGCACTATGGGCAGTCTATCTGAAGTGTACCTGGCATATAAGATGACCCCCCACTTGGAGGCATATTTTTCAGGGCCAAAAAATCATCTTATACGCCGGCAAATACGGTAGCTATAATATTTTTGTCAAGAGAAACCTCCTCTGATCTATTTTTTTGTTTCCCAGTAGTACAGTTCACATAGAAGAGACAGGATTAATGTTGAATTCTCTCCCTTTATTAGTTTTCAAAATAATGAGTTCATTCTCTAACAGCCTCCAATGGTGGTCAATTTTTTTTAGTATCATTATAAACTCATGGATAAAACATATTAGGTATGTTTCATTCCAATACAGTTATCATCCTTACTGATTCTCAAATTATTTCTTGTTTGGCCTGTGGAAGCCTTCTCAGGTTGGTTCTTCAGTACTTTTGACATAATCTTAGTAGTCTTTGAGAGTTTCCTTACTATTTGGAATTAAAAGATATCCCAGGTTTATCTTGTGCATTTTGGGCCCCAGACTTAGAATCAGCCATTTCCCTTAAGGAGCCTGATTTTTTTTAATGGAGAACATTTTAAGACCACAATCCCTGCATGTCCAAAGGCACCTCACATTTTGGAAGTTCTACGGGGTGGTTACTGAAAAAATACAGCTAAGCTCTGTGAGCCCTATTGGGTTACTGTTCAAAGGGGAGGAGCTACCTTACCTGGGGCAAGTGGTAAGCCTGAGGTAGCCAATCATAATCTTAGGAACCTCAACTGGGCACTAGGAGTAAGCAACTCCCTCTTTCTTCTCTAGTGAAATTGAACATCAAGCAAACAGAATTTCTAGGCAAAGAGAGACTTTTAACTGGGATTTCATGAACATTATATTTTCTATTCCTCTATTGTCATATATCATTTATCTTTTTCATACTTAAGAAAAATAGAGCTGTCAAAATCTGTAATCCCATTATTTCCCATAAGAAATGGAAATTTATTAATTACTGGGTATCAAGTGGTCTCTAGGCCCATTTTTCTGAGGATCTTTCATACTACTGTTTTTATCACATAGGTTTTAATTATCTCTTTTTTAAAAAAATGTATTTAAAGTAATTCTCCATCTATTAGACGTCTATTAATCTTTCAATTACATTTTATAGGTAAAATTAAACAAAACAATGGATAAGAGACATAAAAAGGACCTATGCATTATATCAAAGTAGAGTTCAAACCACTGGGAATAAATAAAAAAGTCACTGTAGAATGATAAAAAGCCCAAACTACATTTAATTTACATGACCCAGACAATAGAGCAAGAAAATGCATAGCTAAAACTGTTAAAAATGCAAGGAGAAATAACAGAAAGAAGCAGAATTGTAAGGAGATCAGTACCACTTCACTATAAAAAGAAAAGACCAGTAAAAATGAGAAATGTACTAAGAACTCAGGTTCTTTGATCAATTCTGCAACAAATTCACTCTGAGGCTTTAAGGAATTCATTGACTCTCTCTAGTGTCCTCATTTCTAAAATAAGAAGGTTGGGTTAGAGAATTTCTATGTTTCCATATAAAATTAGCCTTCTATGATTCTGCAACTAATAGGTATTTGGCAGGAATAAAATAAGAAGATTAGTGAATATAATCTCTTTTAAAAATGTTGAGAAATAAAAGAAACTGTCGGAGTAAAATATTGGGTTGTCGGAAAAGTCATGTATTTTTTCTGTTTTTCATTGCAAAAATGCATCATGACTTTCCTGAAAACCCAACAGAATTTTTCTGGTAATATACAAAAAAGTAGAGGTTTTACACCATTTCAAACTAGAGGCACAAGTTAATAAAAAACAAATTAATCAGAAAAATATAAGCAAAATTTAGAAAGTTTAAAATATGGTCAATAAAATAATTGGAGCAGAGATAAAGAATCCCAACATTATAAAATGATGTTATTTTTAAAGAGTGATAATTAAACACTACACATTGAACTGTTAGTGGCAGTGGTTGTTAGCATTTTGGGTCAGATTCTGGTAACAATCTGATGAAAGATATGGACCTTCTTTCCAGAAAAACGAACACAATTCTGTCATTAGTTTCAAGGGGTTCTGAGTCCCACCAGAAGTCCATAACCTTGGGTAAAAATCTGCTTTACTTGGATATGACCAAAGGAGAGGAAAACAATAAAATAATTATATATATGTTAAGATCTTAGAGAAAGCACAGAATAACAATTCAAATAAAAATTTTTGTAATGCCAGGAAACCCAAAGAAGAAAAATTAAGGGAAGTGATAACATCAAGAGGTCATTTTTGGAAAGGATAGTAAATGGACAAATAGTAAAACAAAATATTAAAGGAAAAAGTAAAATATAAAGAAAAGAAATGGAACATAAGAAAAATACATAAAAACATTTAAATGGTAGTTGATTTAAAAATCTAAATTAGATTTTTTGACAAAAATATAAATTATCAATATTGATACAAGAAACAAACAGAAAACCAAGATAAACAGCTTTTTTTTGTTTTTAAAGCACCCAAATTCATTCTATAAAACAAGCATGGTTCTGATCCTAAAACATCATAAGAACAAAATAAGAAAAAGAAGTTACTGCTCATCAACCTCAAATGGGCCCACAACACTGTCCACAAAAACTACATTTCTGTGGTCAATTTATTCTCACCTTATACAATCACCTTTCCAAAATTTTTACTCCTCTCTCTCAGCGGATGACTTCGTTCATTCTTTACAGAGAAAGCAGAAACTACCACAGGAACTCCCCCATTTTTTGTTGCCTAACATGCACTCTCCCTAAGTATGTGGGCCCAGCCTACCCTCTGAGAAGGTCCAGTTTTCCACATGAAATTCTAGATCCCTACATATCCTCCATCTTCTCAAAAACCTTACTCTGTTACTAATATTTCACTTTCTAGTATAAACAGTCCCTCCTTCTCAACTAGGTTCCCTTTAGTTTTGGAGGAAAAAACCCCAAACATGACATTTACATGACTCCATATCTCCCTACAGATACTGCTGTCTCTTCCACCCTGCACAGCCGTTCTCCATTCTGCCACTCTGTCACACAAATCTGGCTTCTGCCCTGATCAAAATGCTAAAACTCTTAACAGGGTTACTAATGATCTCTATGTTATTATACTTAATCCAGTAGCTTTTTTCAATCCTTTCTTGACCTCTTTAGCATATCACACAGTGACTACCCATGCCTTCTTGAAACACAAGCCTTCTTTCAGGCCCTCTTGACACAGTTCATTCCTGCTCATCCTTCATGTGGCAATCTAACCATTACTTCCTCAAGAAAAACTCCATATTTAGGTAGTCACAAAAGAGTGGTTTAAGAGCATGGGGCTCTGAGCCAAAATACATGGGTTTGTATCTTGGCTCTGCTGCTCATTAGCTAAGTGATCTTGGACATAAAATTTAATCTCTCTGTACCTCAGATTCCTCATCTATACGATGCCTACCCACCTCATATGGTTGGTATGTGAATTTGAATAAATGAATATTTGTGACTTGCTCAGAATGGCATCTGGCAGATAGTAGGTAATACATAAGTGTTTGATAAAGAAAAATTTCCCTATAATACAGTCTTATAATAACAAATATCTCTCAATTGCAGTTCTTACCATAGTTGCGATTCTACATTCATTTTTGCAATTATTTGATTGGCATTTCTTTTATTAGTCTGTAAGCACCATGCAAAATGAGCCATTATTGGTTTTATAACCCATAGCATCTCTAAGCACCTAGCACTTAGTCGACATTTATTAAATGAAAGAATAAAAAACAATGTTAAAGAATACAGAAAGGATGTCTCAAAAGGATTACAACTGTGATCAACTATGGCTTACCCCAGGAAAGTAAAGCTGATTTAACATTAAGTGAAAACCACTAATATGATATATTATCTTAACAGTTTAAATAATATCAATATAATCAGATCAATAAACTTTAAAACTACATTTCTATTGGGGTAAAACTTATGAGCTATAAAGTACAATGACCTTCAGTGTATGGCTCAGTTTTATTTATGTATATGAGTATACTGTGTAAACGACATTCGAATCAAGGCATGGAACATTTCTAGCACCTCAGAATGTTTTCTTGTGCCCTTTCCCAGTTAATACACCCCAGATGTAACCACAATTTGACTTTATCACCATACATTAGTTTTGCCTATTCATGAACTTCTTGATTTATATATATGGAATCACACAGTATGTATTATCAGTGCATTTTTGAAAAGGCATTTGATAAAACTCAAACCATTTCTAATAGGTACATTAAAACATAGAAGTATTTAAAATCAAGACCCAATATAAATCTTATATTTTATAATAGGGGTGAATTCATTAAAAGTATGGGTAAAAACAAGACTGTTCTTTTATTTTCACTCTCATATTGAACATTCTTGCCAGTGCAAAAATATTCAAAAAGGAAAATACTAGAAAAGAAGAAATGTGAATATCATTACATGTAGACAATTTGATTATATACCAACATGAGCCAAAGAAAATCAATCATAACAATAATTAAAACTTCAGTAAAGTGGTTAAATAAAAGTAAAAATTCACAAAAGTCAAATGCATTCTCATGTGGTAGTAATAACTAGCAAATACAATTTAAAAAGGCATTCAATTAACAACAGCAATGAAAAATATTAAACAACTACCAATTAACCAAACAAAGACATATATCTTCATGATATGAAGAAAATGACCAAATATTACCGTGAGAAATAAAAAAAGATTTGAATAAAGAAATATTTCATGCTTTTAAATGAAAGGTTTAAATATCATAAACACAACAATGCTTCATAAATTAATTTATGAGTTTAACAAAATTACAATTGGAACACCACAAGAATATTTTTACAAAACTCAACAAAAATGCTCTTTAAATTCATTTGACAAAAGCACAAGAATACTAAATAACACTGCAGTGGCAACTAGCATTACAAATATTATAATCACATTAAATGCAACAATAATTTAAATGGCACGGTACTCATCTTTAAAAATGAAAAACCTATCACTCAAGAGTTCAACTCTGAACAACAGGGTCACTGGTTTGATTCACGACCCAAGCTGAGCTGCCCCTGAGCTGCCAACACGTGGCAGGATGGCTCAGCTAAAAAAAAAAACCAAAAAAAACAAAAACTGAAAAACCTAGTCTCCAAAATATGTTTAATCTGTAATGACAGAAAAAACAAAGTAGGGAAAAGAATCGATATTTAACAATTATTACTGGGATAATCAATAAGCCATATACTCTAGATCAGGTAGTGGCAAACTATGAATCATGGGCCAAATCTGGCCAGCAACCTGTTTTTATAAATAAAGTTTTACTGAAACGCAAGCATGCCCATTTGTTTACATACTATCTATGTTGCTTTAGCACCGTAGTTAGTTATAACAGAGAATGTGTGGTCTGCAAAGCCTAAAATATTTACTACCTGGCCCTTTGCAGAAAAGGTTTGTTGATGGTTGCTCTAGATTATTGCTGGATAAAATAAGACAGTATTAAGTACATCAAATCTCTGACAAGCTTAAAAAATTATCAAGCCAAAATCTACATCAAAGTGGGAACCCAGAAAGGTAAAGAGAGCACTGAAGTTGCTTTTCTCCTGAGGGTAGCTGTTTAATCCTAAGAGTTCGAACATCAGTTTTGATAGCCTTGGAGGAAAAGGTGTTCTGAATCAAGTTAGGGTCCACCCAAGGTGGGAAGTATTCCCCTATGAAACCAGCACCCCAAAGAGCCATCTCATTTGGGGAAAGGTAAACCAAAATTGTTTTCCAGGTATCTGTCTATAAGTTACCAATTGCTGAGGGATTGCGTGGGACAGACCCTTTATCATAAACAACAAGCTCAAGAATCTTTTCAACTCAATTTTTATACCTGTATAACTAAAAAACTCAACTCACAAATTTAGATTAAAGTGATCCTAACTCCAAGACACCTGCAGAAGAAGCAAATGCAAAACATCTCTGGAGGAATACACTTTTATCTTAGGCCTTAAATAATTCCCACAAATCATTTTTCAAGACAGTGTGTAAATAGCCAAGCATGCAAGGAAACAAGAACGAGAGCTGGTTGTAACAGAAGTAAACAGCATCAGGCATAAGAATATATAAAGCAATTAAACTTATTACATTTAGAAAAATAAAAGACAAGCTTGAAACAAGTAGAACTTTCCAATCAGGGTGGAGGTTGTAAAGAAGGGTAGTCTATGCACTGCTTGTGCAATAATAGACTTGCTCAATGATTTGTGTCAGGCAATGGAGACCCACAGGGGCTTTCAGCATTAGTTCCCAAGAGTATTTTGCAATTACGTACTTTGGACCTCTTTGTTCTATCCTCTCTTCCCTTATGAGAAATATATTTAAAAATAAAGAATATGCATGTACTAAAATAAACATTTAATATTAACATTATTTTCATATATACATTTATATTTTATATACTGCTTTTAATTTTAAATATTTCTAGCATACAGAAAATAGAACGATACCCATGTACCCACCAACCAAATTTAAGAAGTTCTGTCCTATTTCTCTTTTAAAGCATAAAACATTTCAAATATATTTAAAATCCCAGTGACTCTCCTTATCTCCTTCCTTTCCCTCCCTTCTCGTAGATCTACTGCCGATCCTGAAGTCGATGTGTCTAATTTCCCTGAATATTGTTCTTTTACAACACATCTAACACTATGGTCTTTGCCCAATTTTTTAACTCTGGTTTCCTCATCAATAAAATGAAGTCCACAGTTAACCTCTGCAGAAACTTCTCCTCCCCAGCGTTGACTACACGCTGCTTTCTGACAGCCGCCCAGCTAACAAAAGGTTGATTTGATGTACTTCTATTTACTATTCCCCACACAGGATAATACCCTGCCTCCCCCTTATCAATTTCTGATCTGTCACCCAGTGTCTCCCATGGCTGCTCCTTAGTCTTGACAGGGGCACAGCAGTGCCATGTACATTGTTGGCACCAGGCGCTGTCAGGCCCTCTGCTCCATCTCAGGACTTTAGGAGGCCAAAGTTTTGAGTAACCTAAGGGCAGGTGAGAGGTATGGGAGAAAGCCTGAAAGGAAGACGCTTTGGAGTCTGCTTAGTTCAAATCCTGTCTCTAGCCCTTAACCATCAAAAGGCCTTCCAGCACGGACAAGCACTGTGCTTCAGATTCTCCGCGTCTAAAATGAGGACCATTTGACCTACTTCATTGGGTAGTGATAATAGAGCCCTTACTATGCACCAAGTACACTTTGAAGCATTTATGGCATATATTAAGTCGTTTAATCCTGACAAAAAGCCCAGGATGTAGAAGAGAACACTTCCCCCACCTGACAGAAGGAAGCCCAGGCACTTAATTGAAATAACCGTGGAATCACAGAGCTGAAATCATTAAGAGCGGGGATGCCAACGCGCGCATCTGCCGCAGTCCGTGTCCCTAACCACGTCCCTTTGCTGGGGGTATTGTTAAGCCACAATTATCAGACCAGTGTCAAGCACGTGGCACACAACAGACACTCAAAATACAGCAGCCCGGCTCATGACTGTGAAAGGCCGTAGAACAGTGCAGTTTCAGGAGGGACATGGGGGAAGGGGCAGGGGCCTGGGCTGGGCCTAGCCGGTTACTACTCTGAGCCAGGCACCACGGTAGGCACTGGATACCTGACCGAGAACACAAGGGGCGCTGGGTGGGCTCGGCCCCAGCGCCCCGGGCGACCCCGGCACAGGTCGCCTCCGCCCCGGGCCTGTTTGCCTGAGGGAACCGTTTTGGTCTCTCCCAGGCTGCCTGACAGACAACAGAACTCAGGGGCCGACCAGGGGCCAGTAACGAAGGAGTCGGAGAGGCTTTCCTGTCCGACCGGGCCTGGGGACGGAGCTGGACCCGGACCGGCCGAGCCTAAGTTCTTGCGCCGCACTCACCTCTTCCTAGGCTCCAAGCCGGCGGAACCAAATTCCAAGCTCCCCGCGCCGCCTGCTCAGCGCGGCCGCGGCCCGCCAGCTCACTTCGCGCCAGAAGTCGGCAGATTCCGATTGGCTGCGTCCTAGAAGAAGCTGACCAATACCATCGCCCCGTGGCACCTGTCCCCGCCCCCTGGGCCTGCGGGGCGGGGTCACCATGCGCTCAGTGGGGGACACGTGTTCCCAAAGCCCAATCAGAGCCCAGAATGGGAGGTCAGCTGACTACGGTTAAACTCCCCGGGCTTCCGGTGCTAGTTGGGGCTCTCTTGTTGTGTTTCCTAGTGTCAGATGAAGGCTTGTTTATATGAAACCGGCGCTGGGAACCCGGACTGTTGGGATTGAAAACCCCAAGGTCTGAGGGGAGCCTGAGAATTGCCAGTCCCTACAGACTAGCCGAGGCTCTGCGCCAGGGGCTCGTTAGCTCTGAGCGTCTGTCGTTGAGGCTTCGGCGGTCTCTCCGCCCACCTGCTTAATGCTGGCCTCTGTCCCCACCGTACTCCTGCACTCCTGCACAGTAAGTTGCCATTGACGGGGAAGGGGGTCGCAAACTCAGATGCATCCAAGAACATGTACATTACCTGAGAAGCCATGCTGCGGTTCCAGCTGATTGTGGCCGCGCGGGAATGGGGCGCTGTGATGCCAGATCTTCATTTTTTATTTCATTCCTTCCTTCATTTCTCTTTTAAGAAAAACTGAAAGCCTTAGTTTTTTTATATGCGAAGTCTGCCAATTTTTAAATGTTAGAAGAAAACAAAACACATTGTTACTCAAGAGAAAAAAAAGCAGAGTACGTTAAGCAGATTTTTAATAGCAAAATGGCCAAATAGGAAGCAGGATAGAGACAAAGTACAGTTTATGAATCATCTGCTGAAAGAATGAAACTGCTAACACTTCGATTCAGAGGATACCACCCAGAACATTTGGTAGGATCCTCTCAGAACTCAATGAGGTGTGACACTCAGCTGAAATTGCCTGCTCCACACACTGCCTAAACCCTCCGTTTGCTTTTTTCTTCACTATCCTTCAATTTCGTGTCCTTCTCTAGTAAACTGATAATGACAACATAGGTCATAAGAAAGCGGACAGATGTTATGGGAGCACCCCGGGGTGGGGGTGGGGCAGGAGGGGGGAAGGACACATAGGCAGATCTGCAGGATTAGGAAAGGCTTTCAGTGTCCTGACTCCTGAGATGAGTAAGAGGTATGTCTCAGGGAGAAATACATTGCCACCAGACCCAAAAGGACTAAAATATGCACTTATATGTCCATAACGAGTGTGTCAAGTGAGTCTCCTCGAGGAGGATGTCAATGTAATGTCATACATGTGCTCCTGGAGCAAGGTGGGTGCAGTGCAGTTCTTGTCTGCAAAATTTGTATGTGATGGCAAAGCTATTGAGGTACCCCATGGCTGGAAAAGTGATCTTGTGTCCCTTCACAGCGGAGGGCAAACTGCAGCTGAGAGGCTGTTGAGATAGGCCTTCAATAGGACACATTAGCCACATCTATAAGAGCAAAATATGTACTGGTTATTGATTGGATAGAGTAATTTTTATAATATTGGGTATGCGGCTCTAATGGATGGAACCAGAGCATTAATGTAGTAATCCAATATGGGGCTCCTGTTATGGACTAAATGTGTCCTCCCAAAATTTATATGTTGAAGTCCCAATCCCCAATGTGACTGTATTTGGAGATAATAGTTTAATGAGAGTAACTAAGGTTAAATGAGGTTGTAAGGGTGGGCCCCTAACTTGATAGGACTGATGGCATTATGAGGAAGAGAAAGCAGTCTCTTTCTCTGTGCCACCAGAGAGAAGGCCATGTGAGGACCCCGCGAGAAGGCTGCCGTCTACAGGCTAGCTCCTTGATCTTGGACTTTCCAACAGTGAAAATAAATGTCTGTTGTTTAAGTCACCCAATCTGTGGAATTTTGTTATGACAAACCAAGCTAACTAATACAGCATCCTTTGGTTTTTTTCCAGGTTTAAAAACAGGCAAAATTGGGCTGTCAAGTGGAGAAGCAGTGAGGCTAATCATCCCTTTATTAATAAGGTTTATATAATACGTTTTAAACCTTGCAGGCATTTTTAACTTACACTGGGCCATATTAACTATTTTAACTGGGGAGAAGGGGCCCTTCGGGTCCCATTGTATCAAGCCCATTTGTAAGTGCCAAAGATTTCATTTTAATTTATTATCCACTGTGTTAGAGTGTGTTTGCCCAATATGGGATATATTTAAGGCCATGGGTATTACAATCATGGGAAATTTAGGCAAGGCTATAAAGTGAGGCATTCCTATTTTTTTCTCTACTTTCTATTTAGTTACTTTCCTAAGATTATAGAGGCACAATGTTTACATTTAGTGGGAACCCCACGTATAACTATACTTTGAGCCCCAGTATTGGTTAAGTCCATAAAGTTTTGTTAATTGGTGCATTTTTGCAAATGCTAGAGTTAATTTAGAACCTAGTTTGCAAACACACAAAAGCCAATCAGCACCCTTTTTATCTTTCTGTTACATAACATTCTTTTAGTATATAAGTCTTTGTATGTAAATTTTGGATTTCCAATTGGGTCAAATTAAGGGCCTTTGTTTTAATTTAGTTAGATATCATGTATACTTATATAATATATCTATTATATATTTATGTTAAAATATTATATATACCTAATTTATTTAGTTATCTTTTATTTTCTCCCCCTATATTAGGGTTTAGTTTTTTCTTTTTTTCCCTGACCACCCTTTTGTCTCCCGATTGTCTGATGCGCAGGATCCTGCAATGTTGTCAGCCATGCCATGGACTTTTCAGTTACAAGAGCTGATAAATTCCCTTTCATCCTTAAAAAAAAAATGTAAGGTACAAATAGTAGACATAGCATACTACTGTTTGTGTAGAAAATGGTGTTCATATGTATCTACTTGTATATGCATTTACACTTTTCTGATAAGAAACTAAACCATGGAAATGTTGGGAGTGGGAACTGGGTAGATGGAGAAGGAGCCATAGAAAGACTTCCCTGTATATCCTTTTATGTCTTTTGACATTTGCACATTTGAGAATGTTACCTATTCATAGTATAAATACAGAATTTTAAAAATACAAAAAAACTAGCGGCAATGGTATTTTATAAGCCGTAGGAAAAACAAATCCTATTCTATCGAATACGCTGAATTTTCAAAGTAGTGTATATGCTAGTAAGAAAAGTATATTTACACTCCTAACCACTCAGGAGCAAAGTAAACAGAACAGAGGGGACGAGTAGATGGGAAAGATCTTAATTAAATTCAAAGTTATGCGCGCTCGCAGTCTGTCTTTTGTTATGTTTGCTAAGAAGATGCAAGAAGCTTTCTGAGATATCCAGTGGTAACTACAGAGTTCTTCCCGGAATATTCAATGTTGTGCACCAGGAACCTCTGCTTCTGAGTAGGAATGTAGTAGGTATCAGTGGATCATCATTCCTGCTGAAACAATTGGGAAAAAGGATAAATTACAAAAATCATATTTTAAAGACATCGGGGAGCAGTGGAAGCAGAGAAGGAAGAGCCTGTTCTAAGTGAGTTGAGATTGTCGGTCATTTTTTTCCCCTGGGTCACTCACTTGTGAAATCTGGGCATAGGCCAAAGATTGGGTTTGGTCTACACTGAACTGTTCAGGCCACTCAGGGTATCATTAGAGACTAGAACCTAGTATGAGGCTCTTTTTCTCCCATGGGATATTTGCTGAGTGCTAGGATAGCCTGGGGGGGGGAGGTAGGTAAGGGAAGGACCAGCCAGGGAGCTGGAAAGGCCAAGTAAGATCTGCAGGCTCCTAGTATTTGGAAGAGAGAATCCCACTGGAGGGAATGGCCTGCAACAAATACAAGACAGGTCTCACTCGGAATTAAAAACAAAGGCGGACCTAGTCTGACTTAAGCTGCAACACACCCCACCTCAGCTCAATTCTTAATTGGATTGAGGCATCATCCCTTTAAGCTACACTAACAGGATAGGTAAACCCTATCCTCTGTCAGAAACCCTATCCTCTGTTAGACAATGTAGCTGTTTAATCTTTTATGCACAATATTTGGCATATAATAAAAAATTACAAATCATAGAAAAAGCAGGTATGGTAGACTGAATATAATGGCCCCCCAAACATGTCTCTGTCCTATTCCTGGAACCTGTGAATATAAGGACTTAGCAGATGTGATTAAGGACTTTGAGGTGGAAAGCATAGCTTGGTTTATCCAGATGGGTCCAGTATAGTCACAAGGGTCCATATGAGAGGGAGGCAGGAGGCTCAGAGTCAGTAGCAGGCGATGTGAGGATAGTAGCAGGACGTTGGAGTGCAAATCAGGACATTGGAGTGCAAATGAGAAAGGGTCAGAATCCTGGAATGCAGGCACTACTAGCAGCTGAAAAAGACAAGGAAACAGATTCTCCCCTACAGTCTCCAAAAGAAACCTTGACTCCAGCCCAGTGAGACTGATTTTGGATTTCTAGACCTCCAGAACCATAAGATAATAAATCAGTGTTGTCTTAGGCCACTAAATTTGTGGTAATTCATTATAGTAGCAATAGGAAACTGATACGGCAGGGCAATGTGCCTGATCATTAAGAGAAAAAGAAAAACAATACAATCTCGATGTCAAGGACTTTTAGAAAACGATTTAAGGGGCTGGCTGAGTGGCGCGTTGGTTAGGAGTTGGCTTGGGATGCCAGTTCTGAGAAGGAGGGCCCCGGTTCGGATCCCACATGAGGGCCAGTGACACTGCCCTCTACAGCTAAGATGATGAACAACAGCTCGACCTGGAGCTGGGCTGCTGTGAGTTGCCGGCGATGGCGTAGGCTGCAGTGGGCTGCAGTGGGCTGCCATGAGCGACTGTCCAGTGGCCAGTGAGCGACCACCTCACCCGGGAAGAGCACAATGATAATACCAATACGGGCCAGTGAAGCGATGTTCTCCACAACTAGACTGAAGAACAAAAGAAGAGCATCTTGTCTGTTCCCCTTCCCTGATTCCCCAACGCTGTTCCCCTCCCCCAAATCCTCAATAAAATCTTAAAATGATTTAAATATGTTAAAGAAAACAGTGGGGACAATGGACAAAAGGGTGACAAGGTGGGGAGTTTCAACAGAGAATTGGAATATATAAAAACCAAATGAACATTCTAAAATTGACAGATACGGTATTCAGAGTAAAGAATTCAGATGGGCTGAGCATCAGACAGGATACAACAAAGGCAAGAGGTTAGTGAACTTGAAGATAGGCCGATAGAAAATATCCAAGCTAAAGTACAGGAGGATAAAAACACAGAACAACATTAAGTTCTTGTTTTAGGAAATAAAAAGGAATTTGTGTATTTAAACTGTAAATAAACTCACTTTGTAAATCATATTGTATATACTATTAGACCCCTCGATCTAGTTTTGTCATAGATTGCAAGTAACAAAATAAAGCTTCTGGTAGGTTTGAGTATAAAAACCATATTTTTTTTACAATTCCGAATTTCAGTTCCCACATTTGTAAAAT